GTCATGATCTCACAGTTTGAGGGTTCAAGCCCCACGTCAGGCTCTGTGCTGACAGCTAGCTCAGAGCCTGGAGCCTGTCTTCGGATTCTGTGTCTCCCTCTCTCTCTGACCATCTCCTGCTCCTGCTATCTCGATCTCTCTCTCAAAAATAAATAAAACATTTTAAAAAAAGAAAGAAAGAAAGGTGGACTCCTCACATCATTGGCTCAGAATATTATCCATTACTCGCTGCATATATCTGTGAAGAGCAAATCATCATACTGGATTATATAGGACTTGGTGGGGGTTAAAATCCCCCCAACTTTAAAGCAAACTCCTATCATGCCAAGTGTCCTCAGTGCTAGATTCTAGCTAGCTATGACATGTATCCCATTACCAAGGTATCCCATTACCTTGTGCCTACCATCCCACCCACTCACTGCAGATCTAGTAAATGAATCCAAATCTTTCTGCTTGCTTGTCACATCTTTTTTTTATATCTTCATTCAGGTCACAAAACTACTGATCTAATCAAGACCAAGAACAGAGTACATTTTATTTGTCACCCTGGGTTTGAGTGTCTATTTTCAAATAGCTAGCAAGCAGCTTACATTTCTCCTCACTTGTCCCACAGATATGAGACTTCATCAAAGGTGTATCCAACATCACAATGTGCATCTGCAAGAGACTCCCTGACCTCTAAATCTATGGCCCAGCTAAGAGAAAATATCTCCACTGACATGTTCTTCTCCTCTTATCTAATTTGTACAATCTCCTGCCCATTCTTGGAAATCCAGATATCGTCCAACTCCAACTGAATTCATGTAAAATATCTATGTACACTTTCCTTCTACAGAAAAGTGGTATCAGGAGAGGAAGTTATGTGCCAGATGCTGAATGTTAAGAATACGGACATACTGGGGTACCTGGGGGTTGAGCAAACAACCTTTGATTTTGGCTCAGGTCACAATCCCACGGTTTCTAGCCTGGCATCAAGCTTTGTGCTAAGCGAGAAGCCTGCTTGGGATTCTCTCTGTCTTTCTCTTTCTCCCTCTGTCTCTCTCCCCTGCCTGTGTTCTCCCTCTCTAAAATAAAATTTTAAAAAACTTTTTTAAAGAATACAGACACACCACAATAGTTAATGAGTATTTACTGTGTACCAGACTCTGCATAGAGAACACAGTATTTGATTCAACCCTTGCCCTTATTTTAGTCTTTAAGAAGAATCAGTACTATGCTCTCCAAATTCTCGTCTGTGTCTACAACTCTCTGCTAATATCCTTCACCCCTCTGTCTTCCTCTACCAGCTGCCACATACCCCTACTTCCATGTTCTTGCTGCACTCTATCTTGGAGACCATATTTCTGACCACACAGCTGTGTCATCCCTTCAGCAACAACGATGAGCTCATCAATATTAGATAACACGAGCATCCTCCTCTCAACTCACACTTCCAACTGACTGTCTCTTCTTTTCTATCTCTCCGTTTATTAGAATCAGACCCAGCCATCAAGGTCCAGCACTAATCCTCCTCCACAGGAATAATCTGACCTCTACAATCAGCATACTTTTTCATTTTTTCCTGTATCTGTGTTTCTATGGAATCTGGTATCTCTATCGTAGCATTTAATACACAACTGCCTCAAAATCACGATTATGTACATGTCTCTAACTTCTGTTAGGTAATAGGCAGAGGAGAGGTGTGAAGTGAGAAGAGCTGCTAAGGCTTGAAGTTGTCTTTCATTGGTCTGGTTTAACTTCACACAGTCTCTGATTCTCTAGCTATACCATGGAAATCAGATCCCTACTTTATAAGGATGTTAGGGAGACAATATAGAAAGTAGTCTTCCAAACAGGGAAAACATGGAAGAAGTTGAAACGTGGAAACTACCAGGAAAGGAAGTTTGTTTGCTCTGAATCCTTGAGGGCAGAGCTACCCTCCCCACAGCACCAAGCTAAGACTTTGTTACATTAGTGTTAAGCAACATCTCCATAGCTCTTTACTAGAGGTGCAACATATTTCCATGAATTGAAAATTGAAATGCATTTACTATTAAAGCATCCTTCTAGAAGGAGATTTTAAAATAAGAGAACTCTTAGAAGGCACTGTTCAAATCTTGGCTTTCTTTTTTAACTATAGCTTTTTGGATCCACAAAAGAAATGACATAAAATAATTGCTTTCTGGCCCCACCAGATCTGCTTCAGTGAAATCCACTGACATCTCTGTAGTGTTAATAGAAACATGAGAAAATGGCAGCTTCTCAAAAGGTATTTGATTTATTACAAGATGCTGTTATGTAAGAAGTAAACAGTATCTTCTATGTCAGTATGCTAGAAGTGAAGATCCTTTGGAGTTCTGTTTATGTTTTTTTTCCCCCTTTAGAATACTGCAGTATTCTGTGGTGGCTTTTAGCTAATTACCTAAAGCCTTAATAAGAGGTTTTCACTAAAAGGCTCAGGATACTCTTTTTTCTTTTTTTAATTTTTTAATGTTTATTTATATCTGAGAGAAAGAGACGAAGCGTAAGCGACAGAGGGGCAGAGAGAGGGGTAGGCAGAATCTGAAGCAGGCGCCAGGCTCTGAGCTGTCAGCACACAATCCCTACATCGGGCTTAAACTCATGAGCCATGAGATAGCGACCTGAGCTGAAGTCCAACGCTTAACCAACTAAGTCAGCCAGGCGCCCCAGGATGCCTCTATTTCTGACCAACTTTTTATTCTACCTCTTCCTACAATGACAGGTACTTGACCTCCTTTTTCTATACTTTATAGTATATACCCCCCCTAAAAAAAATGAAGCCAGGAACACAAGAAGTTTTAAATTATAAATGCTTTTGTTTCACCAGATTAAAAAAAAATCCTTTTTTGGAACACTTTGTATTATTTTATTTTCTCTGAGTTATGAGAGACTGAGGAACCCTAAAAAACAAACTTGGACCTGTTTATTGAAGAAAGGATATGGCACATTTTTTAGACTTACTATCAAAACCATAAAACCCCTAATCACTCTTATAATGATGGATGTATTTGTTCACATTAGTATTCTGTAAGAGAAAAATAGTTAAGAATTGAATGAGAACTCAGTAGCAATGTATTGCAACTGGCAGGCCACAGGCCACATGTGGCCCAAATACATTTTTAATACAGTCCTTATAGTTTATAAAATTAAGGACACTTCACATAAAAATACGTAAGCTTCTGTTTCCCTTGTTTTACAGCCAGGGTGGTAACAATCAGCTACAGGCAAGTTGGAGCTGCCCTGTTTATAGTGGTTTGTATGTTCCATAGCCCCCAATCCACAACCCCTTCTTCCACATGGGGGGACCACTGGGCCTGCTCCCCTCCTTCATCTTACCTGTGCACTGGAAATGCAGACACAGTGTTTTTTGTTTTGTTTTGTTTTTTTAAGGCAAAGAACCTGGATCCAGAAAGGGCTTCCCCATTCACTAGCTCTGTGACCTTCCACAAGCTCTGAGTCTTGAGGTCCCTCAGTTTTAAACAGAAGCTAATCCCTTGACTTCATAAGGTGGTTGTGGGGGATAAAAAATAAGAGTAGGAAAACTACTTTGAAAACTGCAATATAAAATATTGGTCATCTTTATTCATTTCCCAGTCCCCGCTCACTTACATAAATCCCCTCTATTTGCCTCAGCTATTACTGGCTTCCTTGTTCCTCATAGTATTACTCTGAATGACACCGTTTAAAATCTAAATAAAAAGAATTTGATATATTTCCTTGCCTCATTTAATAAGAGGTAAGATGACGAACAAATATCAAAGAAAACAAAACGCATTATTGAATGTCAGTGGATCTTTACTAGGTCCTTTCTGTTTGTAATGAAGGTATGAAATTAGTACAAAGTGTAATTGCTGGATTGCTAATCCCTTCAAAGGCTGTTTTAAGTTCACCCACTAGGCACCTGAGGCCTCAAACTAAAACTCACAGCCCTGTCATTATGGGTTCCTATGAGATATGAGCACTGATCTCCTTGGGCCTCACCCAGTGCTCCGGTAAAAAATCTGATCCAACAGGAAAAAAAAAAGGATCTATAAAGCTTTCTCTGTGCCTCCCCTCCTCTCAACATTTCAATATAAGCTCCAAAACCTTAGGCTCTGCAGCAATAAGCCATGGCACAAATTTTACACCTGTATCTATCAACATACAGATATATGTAAAAACAAAAAACAAAAAAAAGTAAGAACCTTGAAATAAAACAGAATCTTCTCACAAATGGGCAGAGGTGCTGACAACTGTGGGCAAATGATGCAGTGCCCACAGAAATGTTAGCAAGGATTTTTGCCGTGAGTGTTCTCTCCTTACACTAGGAATTCACTTATATATTTCTGTTCTGGTTCATTTACAATAGATCACCCTTGTGTGGAGAACCACAACTAATTCCTCCTATACTTTTAATGTTAAGATAATCATGCCTGAGTGAACTGTAAGATATAATGTGGAATTAGGAAAGGGGATTTTCACTGGACTCATTGTTCTTTATAAGATCTCCAAAATTGGGGTAATTTATGATTCAAGGCACAATCCGTTGAAAAATCCGTCTGACGAATCCGTTTTGAAGCATACCATATAACGCATTACTGCCTTCCCTGAAGTTGAATGAAACCATACCCAGAATCATATTAACGGTTGCCAAATTACCACATGGTCCTCAGTGTGTATTTTATTTTTAAAAAACGTAATAAATAACATCATTTTTTAAAAAACTACTTCTTTCAATAGATGGCCCAAGGCTGATGTTTAAGCAAGTCTCCTTGGCAACCAAGGAGCACAGTACGTCTCGGGCTGGGGGAAGGGGTGAAGACGGGGGAGCTGTTGGTAGAATAAGTAAAGGGAGTAGTAATTGCTCCCGCTAGACGACGCTGGTAGAGCCGCACGGGCCGCATGCCCCTGAAATTTCAACTCCGGTCTCGCCCCGAACGGCGCACCAGCGGCCCCCCCACCCCCTCCCTCCGGTCCGCAGGCACCTACCCCCAACAGGTTACAAGGAGAGACTGGCTTACCCGATGGGGTGAGCGGTCTGCTGGGTTATGTATGTACCCGAGGCGGCAGCGCAGGCACCGGGCGCTCCCTGATGCACCACGGCTCTGCTTCTCCCCACGATGCTGAGGTTAAGAGAAACCGCAGTTGGCTTCGCACTGTCGGTTTGGGGATGCAGTTGTGAAGACAGAGTGCTAGCGTGTATCTTGTGTGTGTGCGCGAGCGCGTGTGTCAGTGAGTGAGCGTGTGTGTGTGTGTGTGTGTGCGCCCGCGCGCTCCCGGGCTCTCCCGCGGGGAAACACTGTTTGCTAGTAAATAAAAAGCAGCAGCCAGCACCGCAGGTGGCGCGTCCCGGCTCGCTCTGCCCCAGGTTGCCGCGTCCGCCTGGAGCAGCACCTCGGCGGACCCCGGGGCGGGCTCAGACCGTGAAGCGGCTCCGCCCCCTCCCGCCTCAGGCGAGCCCGCGCGCACGCACGCCCCCTCCCCCTCCGCCGGCGAGCCCGCGCGCACGCTCCCCTCCTCCAACACCAGCCGCCAGGGAGGCGCGCACGCCGCGCTTTCCCCACCCCCCACCTCCGCTGCCCACGGCGAGCTGGCGCGCGCTCCCGCTCACCCCGGAAGTCCCCCTCCTCCGCGCAGCCTTGCTTAGTGCTCTTAGGCACCTGCGCTGTGGGCCGGTGGGGCTGCGCGGGAGCCTGTGGCTACCCACACCCGAGAACCCAACCTGCCTGCTCCCAGAATCCCTTCCCACGTCTGGAGACCAACTGGCGGGAACAGACAGTGTGACCTCGAGCACTGTCCCTCTGCTTCCTTGACCCTCCTGACTTGTGAAGTTCACATTGCCACTATTCCTAGCCACCCCTCTGTGGCTTCATGGTAATGTTGGGAAAAGCTTTACGGTAACTTTAAGGTTGGATGGAAGCCCCGAACCTGAGAAATGAGGAATGGTTACAGCTAATTCAGCATTAACATTGCAAACAACAGCCTAGAACACCTCTGTTAAACCTAAGGGCTTGGCCCACTCAGGTGCCATTTGCAGGTCATTGATGTCATTCCTGTGTGTAGCATGCTTACAACACACACTTAAGCAAAGTGGACAACTTTAATAGGTAAAGATATTCCATATTCCACTTTTGCAATGAAAAACTTGGTCCGATGTACAGTTAAGCCGTCAGGTATCAGAAGAACGTAACTCTAAATTGAGGTAAACTGTTTTTTGTTTAAAAGTTCAGGGTTTAAACTACCACAAAGATGGAATTTCACAGAATGGTAAGTCTCTTCTCTTGGAAGTTTGTGCTTTACACTTGAGCTAGGAACAGTGCCTTGATCTACTTGGCGCTTCCTTAATATTTTCATTAGTCTCAAAACAACGGTTCAGGAATTTTTTCACTTTCAGACCAGGTTTTATGGGGCTCTTTGCTACCCCAGCCCCATGCCTTGGGGCCTGATTCTCTGGCTTCCTGTCCATCATTCCCAGACTTTAGGCACTGGAGGCCTACTTATCTAGAAGTCCTAGACCCCAGGATAGGAGCAGGAGAAAGAACATTTGACTATAAATACGAGGTGCAGTACTAGTCTCTAGAATTTTTCATACGCAGTTTGATATTGTTCATTGGGTGTGGTTTCATACCAGAAGAATAAATATGAAAGGATGTTTGAACCCAAAATACTATGACTGGTGTCAATAAACACTTCTTTAAGATTCATAAACTATTTGTTACTAAATTGAACACACTTAAAATTTTAAAACCATCTAGGGGCTGGGTGGCTCAGTCTGTTAAGCGTCCAACTCTTGGCATCGTTTCAGCTCATGATTGCTGGAGTCCAGCTCCAGCCAGTCCACGGGTCCCTGAAGGATGGACGGTGTGGGCAAGAATGATGAAGAGAGCTCCGCGATTCTTTCTACTCACCTGGCAGGCATCTCTGTGCTGTCGGTTTTGGTGTCTTTATAGGTCGAGCGACAACATGACATCAGAAGATAGAATTTTTACAGTGGCTAATTATTTGTGATAAGATGCTTTGCTCAGCGGAAGGTGTACAGAAACAGGTTTTACAGAAGTATTCCACTCCATTTATTATTGATGTCAGTCCCCCAGATTAAGATAGTAACAAACTTGTCTTATTTTGCATGGGTAGGCCTTTTGACAATTTTTATGACTTTGTTTCCAATTAACAGGCTACAGCCGAGTCACGTACTTACAATGAGGTTGAGTAAATCTTATTAGGCTTGTTAATAAGTCGTTTGAGCAAGGCTTTTCTTTGATGCTGAATGTGCAAGCACCATGGGGGCCATAAATGTGTCAGCCTTTGTATTTGGGTTTATGTTTTAGTTACTCTTATCTATCCTCATGCCAGCTGCCAGTATAAGGGAGGGTGTTTGTGGAATGGAGGCCTTGAGGAAGGGACTGCTATAGATTACCAATTAGCAAAGGTATATGTAGTAACTGATATTCTGTCCTTATCGGTACCTTTACTCTAAATTAGGCTCTTTGTCTCCGGGCCAGACTTAATTATAACTCTTGTGTTCTTCTTCTTTTTTTTAATATTTTATTTATTTTTGAGAGAGAGAGAGACAGCATGAGCAGGGGAGGGCCAGAGGGAGAAGTAGACACAGAATCTGAAGCAGGCTCCAGGCTCTGAGCTGTCAGCACAGAGCCGGATGCAGGGCTCGAACCCATGAACCGTGAGATCATGACCTGAGCTTAAGTCAGACACTTAACTGACTGAGCCACCCAGGTGCCCCATAGCTCTTGTGTTCTTAACCTCCTTTTTATCTATGTCTTGGATCTACAACACCCATAGGAAGAGTCTTTTGACAAACATCTACAGTACTTTCATCTAAAATCTCTTTTGTAGGGTCTGGAATATGCTTTTTCTTATGAGGTATATGCGTGAGGAATATCGGTCTGATTTGGAATATTGTGAGGCCTGGTCAATACCAGCAGGCTCATTTCCAACATGTGCCAGTAGTAACAGAAGGAGATACCAGTTTACGCTTCTCATGGCAGCTGTGCAAACGCTGCCATTTCCTCGCTGTGACTGTGTCATCCAGCGAGGCTAGTGCGGCTCCCAGCACATGATCTCATAGTTCATAGGTTCAAGCTGACATCAGGTTCTGTGCTGACAGTATGGACCCTGCTTGGGATTCTCTCTCTCCCCTTTCTCTCTCTCTGCCCCTACCCAACTTCTGTGTGAGTGCTCTCTCTCGCTCTCTCTCTCTCTCTCTAAATAAATAAATAAACTTTAAAAAAAGTATTTAAACCCATCTATATTGACTAGATTATCTGTTTGTTTAGAATAAATGGAAGGTATTTATTTAAAATGGTTAAATAGAATGAAGAATATAACTGCAATTACACAGAAAAAAAAATCTTTATGACACCAAGTCACCATCTGTGTGACTATGGCAAGGTCTCTTACTACCCAAGCTGGGTCTGTCTTGATGATAGGTAGCCCAACCCAGTAGCGCAATGCCAGTCACATATTAGGGGCTCAATAAATATTTCTGACTGATACATGGATATAGAGGAACTAGGAAAAAATATGTTAAATATCTACTAAAATGTCTAGCTCAGAGAGGATGTTTTTTCCCTTAAATTACTCCTTAAGATTGATTTATAGATTTTTTTAATTAAAAAGCCTTTTGTTTATCTAAAATAAGGGATGACTCCATAGTTTATTAGACAGTGATAAAAACCCAACACAAATGTATATTCCAGTACACTCTGTTACTAGGCGACCAAATAAATATTTCTCTTTTGGGTACCATTATATATGATCTTTTTTCTCATAGATAAAATAACTTAAAACAATGCTTCCCAAAAGCTGTTCCTTGAAATGCTAGTCATTTGTTCAACCATTTTTTCTTTTGAACTCTTAGAAAGTGTTAAGCTTTGTAATTAGTGTAGGGCTTTCAGCTGTTGATAAATAGACATGGTGTCTGTTTTAATTTAGTGAAACTATGAGAGATAAGCTAAAGAAAGAAAGAAAAATTGAGGATCCTTTCATTGCAAAGTGACAAAAACTACTCCAATGAATTTAAGCAAAAGGGTATTTGATGTGAAGATAACAGTGCTAAGAATCGATGGGCAGCTAGCCCATACAACCAGGCTGGAAGCCTGCAAGAGCTAGAGTAGTTCCCAAAGGCCACAGACACTGTGATAACAGGATCACATCAGGGCAGAAATATCATGATGGGGTGTCTTTCACTGCTGGTATGGGTGGACCCCAATCTATTGCTCTTCGGTACTCCCAATTCAGATTCCAGCTTCCAGTTGTCCTAACTTGTAGCTGGGGTAGGAAGGGACCCCTGAACCCAGGCCCACCAGATTTGAGAACAAAAAGTGGATCCTGATGGCTGGAAAACAACATACATTCTCACAGGAAATAGGGAGCCCAAATCAAATGAGTAAGGGTAAGACTGAAAACTGGCTCCCTGACACATTATTGTATTAAAGACTCTGAGCTCTTGGGGTGCCTGGGTGGCTCAGTAGGTTAAGAATCAGACTCTTGATTTTGGCTCAGGTCATGATCTCACAGTTCGTGGGTTCAGGCCCCATGTCTGGTTCTGCACTGACAGCGTGAAGCCTGCTTAGTATTCTCTCTCTCCTTCTCTCTGCCCCTTCCTGGCTCACATGTGCTCTCTCTCACTTTCTCTCTCAAAATAAATTATTCATTCATAAACATTAATGTATTTATTTACAAACATTAAAAACAAATAAAGACTCAGATCTTGTGATAAAAAAAACTTTTTCACTTTTTTAAACAACCATCCTAGAGTTGGGTTGAGTATAGAATACTTGTTTTTAGCTTACCTCTTAACACACTTTAGGAAGCATTTTGGAACACGGTAAATTTTTGTAGCTTTTTCTCCATGAACCAAAATGTGAAAGCCTAGAATAAATCTAGTGTTATCCAGCTTTTATAAAATCTGTATTTTAACAGCTCTGTGATAATCAGAGTTGAAATTGTCTCTAGGCAGCTCAGATTTCAACATAAAAGAGAGCTATGGCATAGCCCCTTCTTCAACTCCAGAGCAAACACCTGTCTTAGCTGCCTTGTCCCATAGCCAATGAGGAAGGGTCATTCTTAGTGCTAGAGTCATAGTTTTCTGTCACATACCAATAATGACATTAAAGAGTTAATGAGCCAGATTTCTAATTACCATACTTCTAGAGAGAAGAGATCATTATTATTTATGCCAAAACTAAATTTGATTTTTGACTGATATTATCCAGTTTTCAAGCAGAAAATATGAAATAACTCTGGCTGACACCTCAATTTATTCAATTACATATGGGTACATTTTGTAGTTAATTTATGCCATTCATTAGGAGCCAGTATCACTCAAAACTAGTCATACCATGGGAAAATCTTTTACCACTAACATTCTTAGTGTCTCTATT